CTAGTGAAGTTTACTGTCTATAACTATTTCCAGGCACCCTAGTAGACTCAAATGGTCTCTTAGAGGCTACAGTGGACTGAATACTTACGTTCACTGCCCTTCAGTTCAGGTAGCATAAACTGGTCGTCGTTAGAAGTTATCGGTCCGGTGGGCACTGTTGCCAGTGTCCCTGTAGATGTTGCCATCGCCATTGATGAGGACGAAGTAGTGTGGCCACTGCTTTGAACACCTAGACTGTTCATAGATAGGATAGCTGGTGTGTTACGTCCTTCGCCACCCTGTCGTGCGGCAAAAAGCCCAGCTAAATATGATCCGCTTGGATTTGTTCCGGTAACGACACCACTATTATTATTGGAGCAAACTGACCCGGAAACAGCCGTACCAGCAGCAGTACTTCCCCAGGCAGAATTCGCAAAGCCACTGGCACCAAAACCAGTTGCTCCTCCACCACTTGCGGCAAGATGGGCAGGCACAGATTTCTTATGTCCTAGCAAAGCATTGTTGGTACCAGAGCTATTGAGCAAGAGGCCAAGGTGCGAATGATTATGGTGTGGCAGGAGAAGCGAATGCTGGCTTTGATAGTTAATTTGATGGTGATGCGTGTAATGGTTTGAATGCTGGATGTGATGGTGTTGGTGGTTGTTAGAGTGGGCATGGGAGTGGTGAAGATGGAGGTGATAAGAGCTAGGACTCTGAGACTTTGCCGCCAGTCCTGGATAAAGACCACTTGCGACTACTGTTCCGAGGCCAGCGCCTGAAGAAGAAAAGCCCATGGGATTCGTGATGAGACCCGCTCCGGAGGGATAAATGTCTGGGATCGAAAGTGCTCCACCGCCGCCCTGGCTACCACCACCAGAGCTCGTTAAGCTATTGTTACTGACGGCTGAAATTGAGCTAGACGTTGCAATCGACGCGTAGTGCATGCCTGGCGCAACGGGCGTCAAAGGTGGATAGGGCGTGTGATGATGATTAGCAGGAGGCAAAATTGTCTGGTTGGCATGGTGATTAGGATGATGGAGGAGGCTGGTCTTTTTAAAAAAAAGGCTGGCTGCTTGTGATTTCTTTATCTTTGCATCTCTAAGAAGAGAAATCGCGTAAAATTCATAGCAAAAACGCAAAATAATGACGACATTTGACATTTTCAAATGCCCATGAAATGAGAGCATATATTATTAACTGGATCCCTTCCACCCCCCCCACCACCAAAATAATTAGTAAGCAGATGTAACAATATTGAAATAAAAAGTAAATTAAATAAGGTATTGGGAAATGCAAATATCCAAAAATGAAGGAAGGTAAGATATTCTGATAACGAATTTTGTAGAATTAGTAATCACAATTGTGTCCACCAAAGAAAAGACTTAGAGCGAATAATTTGCCAGACTGTTAAACTGTGTCTGTCTATCCACACAATATAGGATGACAACAAGTGAAGGAAAGAATTAAGAGCTAGCAAATGGAAAAAAGTTTATCGGCCAAAGTACTTTCTATTTTAGGGGCCACCAACATAAGTACAAGCATTCTAAACTATCAAAACGTAAATGCAAGGAAAGAGCTTGTATGCTGTCAATTAGAATTTGCCATAGATGTATCTGCTTATTGAAATGTTATAGTTGGCTTCCAAGTCCTTCCACTTTAAGTAGGACATGAAAAGCGCCAATATTTGGCCCAAACAGCATTGATCTCTTTTACATATTCTATGCTTTACTAATCTGATGAGACAAAGGGGCCGATGAGATTAAGCCTCTACTTTAC